AAAACAACAAACAATTTTTCCACTGTAGGTTGAATTTTTGTCCTATTATTTTACTGCTTGTGATAATTCAGCTAAGTTTGTTTCCTTCCTACTCTTCTTTTTTAAGTTGTGTCTGTCAGTAAATATCTTTGACTATTTGATATGATTTACTCAACTGCTTATTTATAATTTTTGTTTTGTTTCGTTTTTTGTTTCACATTTTCTCGTTCCTTACACCCAATAGTATTAATCGTGTTGAAGCTAAACTAAAACGATCCAAGTCTTTTTCTTGTCAACTGGATAAAATAAAGAAAAAAAAATGTATCATTGAACGAGTAGAAGAAATGCTTGTCGTGATGACGAGATTGATTTGCTGAGAATATTCTATCAAACAAGATTTAACAGTTGTCGTGATGACGAGATTTAACTGTTGTCGTGACGAGTTCAGTAGTCATCCCTTTTCACTTCTGAATGTTCATGCGAGTAATGTACATGCGCAGTTACGAACGTAGCCCATCGAAACTATATCTACAAGTTGCCATAAATATTTTATACTCTCGTCCTCGCTAAGTTGACCTTGTTTTTGTTATATTTTCGTTGTCTATTGAAAGCTAACCTTGATTTCCTTTACAGTTTACAAAATTTAAAGATGATGGAAACAACGTCTAACTGTAAAGTAATAACGAGTTTATTTTTCTTTCAACTCTCTCTCCTTGTTAGTTATAATTCATATTAAATGTAACCTTCTCATTTGTACTTTGGTTTTGAAAATAATATACTGCCCATCAAGGATCCTGAATACAATAAATGAAATATGAGAAAAATCAGTGGGTTTTTCTCTCATTTCATTTGTCCCTCTGAAACTGTAAATCAATGGAGTAGAGGAGGAACGTTCTTATTCTGAAGACAAAATAAAAATTCAAAATTTAGAAAAGAAGTCGCTAGGAGATGATAATAATCTTATAATACAATAGGCACTATTATGTTCTATAGCAGGTAAGACTAAAATAATATAAAATGATAATTTAGTTTACTATCACCACTTAGTTATTGAATTTTTTTAAGGTCAACGTCCTCACAAGTGTGATGTGTGTAGCAAGGCCTTCAAACATAAACACCACCTGACTGAACACAAGAGACTCCATAGTGGCGAAAAACCGTTCCAGTGTAAAAAGTGTATGAAACGTTTCTCACACTCCGGTTCCTACAGTCAACACATGAATCACCGGTACAGTTACTGTAAACCTTACCGCGAATAACTCCAAAACCCAGTCAAGTTTTGAACCAAATTCGGGTTCTGTAACCAAAGGAGTACTGGACCAACAACGAACAATGGCGTTCCAACGTGAGCCGTCTTCAGTTCAGTACAGCGAGAACAGCTTTATTGACGCTAACGACGAAATATAGAGGAACCTTTCAACCCACGTTGATGCATTATATTAGTATACGGTGTATGTGTTTTGTTTTCTGACATGTATAAAGACACTCTAACCTAAAATTGGAGAGTGCGAATTAAAATACTCGTTTTGGTCTTCCCATAGTTCAGTGGGAATGAACAGAATCTATGTGAATCATATACATAAGCTTTATTTGTCGATTGTTATATTATGTTTTTGTTTTTTTTTAGAATGGATCTAACATAATGGTTACAATCTTTATTTCTCACGGTTCATTCTTCCAAGAGTACTAGTTCGTTTAAATATATTATTTTTTATTACTAAAAACTATATCCTATGAAATGGACAAAATGTCAAAGTTGTGGTTTCTTTGTAGATTAAATGTATTTACAAAAACCTAAAACTTTTGTTGTGACCAAAACAAAAAATGCTCCAAGAAAAAAAGACGTTATGTTGTGCCAAATATTAAACATTTCACTACAACGTGTCAAATCTAAATGTACATTTAAAATCATACCGAATCTTTAAAAATAGGTCTAAATGTTTTTTGTTTTTTTTTCATTTTAGGTTTCGTTGATGTTTTCGTAACCAAAGTTTTTACAGAAATGCTTATTAGATAAAGTTTTAGATACATGTGTATTGCGCATGTGTCTTTTTATAACGTATCCCTAAAATCTGGAGTCGATTGTACAGAAATTAATTATTCTGGTTATCACAATATTCAGCAAAAGATAAAAATAACTGCATTTCAACGATAAGCTGGTGTCAAAGCTTTTAAAAAATACAAATTTTGTGCCAATTGATTCACCTCTTGCAAAGAAACTAACTTTTGGTGAATTTTTATTGCCTTTTTTTAGTGCTAAACTAGTCAATACACACTTAGAGAATGTCTGAAAGTCATGTTTACCCTAGTCGTAACTGCAAGTGCAAGATTGGAAGATGTAAGGTTTGGTTGAACAACCAACATTGTGGATGCAATGTCCATACGAATCCTTGTTGAAGTGACCAGAAAGAGAGGTCGTCCAAAAACGTTAAAATCCCATGAAAAAGGTCAAGAAAACTATGAATCGGATACTTTGTTTTTATCGTAGTAACGTTATGGATCGTTTAATTATTAACAGACTTGGATATGATTAATTCATAAGAAATAAATAAACACTTATAATACTTGTTTATACTAAATGCGTAGAGTGTTCTAAGTGTCACGAACGTTTTTAGAACCATTCTTTCAGTGCAAGTTAAGATTAAACTGGAATAACTCTCAGCAATTTTGGGGGTTTCATTGCGTTTTTCGATGCAAGAACTCGAACCTTACATTTATACAAACTTTTATATAAAAACATGGTCTCTTGTTCAAGTTTCTACCAAATATGGCAACTTCTGTACGATCGACTACGATTTTGTGGTTAAGAAATCAACTAATAAACCAAAAAGCTGTATTAAATCTAAGTAAGGTACCGACCCTGTTTTTTTGTTGTTGTCTGTTCTCGTCTAAAACAAAACCTATGTTGTTTGCTATTAACAACTGTTTTTTTTTCTTCTCTTTTACAGCAATAGCATAAAGTGAAGAAAATGATAAAATTTATATTATATTAATATAAATGATTAACTGATTTCAGGAAAAAATTTTGAAATATGAGCGTTGTATTTACTGGACCACAGTTACTAAAACCGTGACACAGAATCCGTGTGACTCAAATGATGAATACAATAGTTATGTTTAGACTTAGAGAGCCAAATAACATTCATTTCTTCAGAGAAGTATGACATTTTTAATTCTAATCAAGACTCAAACAATACGTGTTCTCATGTTGATCTAAAAGTAATGAATCATCTTTCGCAGTCCCATAAATTTATTCAGAGTACTAATGTTTCTTGATTTTTTTTTATGATCCATAAAGTCAGATCGGTTATTAAATGGGAAGATTCATAAACACAAGTGTGCATCCCTTTTGATTACTCGTTTCTTTTTGTTGTATTTTTTTGTTTGTATTTACGCTAGAGCCAGCGAGCTATTTCACGCACAATTCTTACTGTTCGTTAGTTTCACATGTAAATTTGTCACGTGATAGAATGATCTAGTTTTTGCCCGAGAACTACCCTAGGTGTGTACTTGAGTAACGCTTCACTTAGTTCTTGAAATGTTGCCCAATTAGTCAAATTATATTAACCAAAGAAAATATAAAATTAGAAGTAAGAAGATAAGCCTATATAAGATAAGTCTGTAGTGAGAATAAAAAAATTCTAATGACAGATATAAATAGGTATGCAACTGTTTATACCATACATTTTAATTTGTAGGACGAGACTGCGTTAAAAGTTTGTATATTGCGATAAAACAATAATGCTATTTTTGAACAATATCCGTCTAGGACAGTGTCTTTATTGGGATCGTTGCAAATATTAAGTTGGCTTTTTTTTTCCGTCTAATTTTGTCAATTTTAATATTTTATGTTTTAAGCTGATTTTTAACTTTATTTAGTATTATATGAAATCAAAAACAAGCTACAATGCTTCCTTTGTATATAAATTTTATATATTGTATGTGATCTTCTGTTCGCGTGCCATTTACCAAATTTGTCGTTGCTTTGTGAGAATGACTTATAGATGAGTATTCCTAGTCTAGCGGTGTTATAGTCCCTGCTTAGTGTTGATTTACGTTACTAGTATGCTCAACCTTTTTCGAATGCCTTTGGCTGCTAAATACCTCTAATGTTTTATAATTTCATATTTTTGTTAGCTAATTTAATGCTGAAAGTGTTTTTTGGGAACAATTTGTTTTTCTCTATTGTTTTAAATCATATGTTGAATTACATTTGTCATTTGTTTAATGTCTTTAGACTTTAGTATCCAATCCATCTACCGAATCAGAGAAATGTCTACTATAAACAAGATACAAACCTACCAATTTTACTAGCATTAAAACCTCTTCTGCTCATAACTGTTATTGAGCAGGAGTACGAGGGACAAATCCAGGTTAAAAAACTACATTTTTATAGCTATATTATATTAATCTTATTTAGGCCTAACCAAATTCATGTTTATTAACTTTTTTTTTGTCGTCAATCATCGCAGTCCAGAGCTCAAGCAGCCTTTCTATGATTGTATTTTATTCCCTAATGATTGAAGAAATTCATATCCACTCCTTTAGTTTGCTTCTTTATTTAAAAGATGGCGAGTCCTGAATGCTAGGAATCATTGTAGTAACTTTTTTATTTCTGCATACTTTCAAGGACTTCGGCAAGTTTGGGCTCCACCAAGGAGATTGGAACTGATTTTAGAATGTCATACGAAACATGAGTGTCAAATGTTTTTAAAAAATTAATATACATAGCTTAAGATGTAAGAAATTTTATCACGATGTAATTCTCAAGTCATTCGTATTTTAATTTTCCCAGTAAATACTGATACAAAATCAGTATCGAACAACAACAGATGCTAGACCAAGAAAAAAAGAAATTCAAATTTTCTTGTCTTTGTGGTTATTGTGTTATCACAAAGAAGCTAGGTCAGTCGGGTCAAAATCTTGAAACCCAGTTTGCATTGTATTAATTATTACTGTAGTCCTGTAAACAATCAGTTTACATGTTAATCGCGTTTATGTGGTGCCTGTGTATTTCTAAATATCCTTTCGTTAACAGTTTCAAAGTACTCGAATAAATAATAGTAAAAAGTTACAGCTCCATTCACGTTGGAGATATTTTTAATAAAACAACATTGATGGAACCAGATTTTTCTTTCTTTTTATCAAAGTTAGATAATACTTGGAAAATATTTTACAATTTCGATCTTGTTTTGAGAGTCAGTATTTGAATATGCCAAAAAATTGTTGTGTTTGATAAATTACCAAATATGTTGTTTTAATTCCTGATAAGAACAAGCTTACTAACCTTGTCTTCCAAATCAAAGAAGTTTGAAAATATTATAACTGGTGGTATTTCGACGTAAATGACTATTACGTGCAGAAATACTAGTAATTATTTAAGAAGTTGATTTAGCTAGGATACCTCGAAGACAAGTTTATAATCATTAAATGTATGTTGTCAAATCTGATTTGATCTTTGTGATCCTAATCAAAGTATTTGAGGATATCGTAGGTCAATAGCTAGAGATGGAACACCACTCAAGAGTAATAAAGAAATTAGTTGGGTGTCTTCACCAAAGTATACGAGTTAAGAACATTCTCATTACCAGTGAAACGTTCTTTAGGGTTTAAAATAAATTAAATCATAATTATTGTATTCTTTGAGTGTAAACAGTCAATTGTGTACCTTATAAGTTTCTAGCTGTTGATTAAGTATGTAATAGTGAATGTCAGTTTGTTAGTGACTTTGCTTAATATATATTATTTTTTATAATAGGAGACACGAATACCACATATTAGTACAACGGACAAATTATTAACATTTTAAATAACTTACTTATCATATTTTTTTAAAAATATTAACGAAATAAAAGTTGTTCCTGTTGATCGTATTAAAAGTCAAGACCTTAGTCGCAAAACAACGTCAGATAATGGTTTAAACCTTTGAAATTTGAAAGCCACTTTCTAAACTTATGCTGTTAAAATATGTGTGTATATAATGCATGATTTCTGTTGGCATCTTTATGTCAGAAGGACTCTTAGCAAATAGATATTGTACGAATTTAAAACTAAGAGATTATTCAATAAAACCTTTTGCGGGATCGGATAGAAAGATCGCATTCGAAGTTTACGTAATCTCTGTGTGTTTATGTGTGTATCTTGTTAACTTAGTATGTATACAAGCTTTTTTTTTCTTTGTGCAATAAGTACATTGTATGATATTCATGAACGCTATTAATGTGGTATTTCTGTGTTTTATGCTCTATATTTTTTGTATTTGTCTAGTTGGTGAATTATGATAATCATAATGTGACTGTCCTTTTACCTTTGTGCCAAGGTTTTTTGTGCCAAGTTTAGAAACACACAGATTCTTGGGGTATCCACAGTGCTTTACTAGAAAAATGAAAAGTTTGAGAATTGAAGTTCAGATCAACCTATTAGTTCTTTTTTATCATCGAAATTTCAAGTTCACCTATTAAAACCTATGCTCTATGGGATTTAGTTAATGAATATTTATGCAACTATTTATTTCCATGTATTTTTTCAGATGATAATAATAAAATCTCTTCGGACTTTCTCATCAGTGTATAATGTTTAGTTTTGGCTTTAGTTTTCATTTCAGTTAAAACACTTGTGGTCTTCCCTTTTTGAAAAAAAAACAAAACAAAATGGTCGAATAAAACCCGCCATTACTTCTCGACTTTAATTGTGGGTGAATTTTCAATAGATTTTTTTTAACCATTCGTTAATATAAAACCCTCTATTACTTTTCGAATTTATAGGTGGGTGAATTTTAAATATATTTTTATTTACTATTCGTTAATATAAAACCCTCCATTACATTTCGACTTTAATTGTGGGTGAATTTTGAAGACTTTTTTTTTAACCATTCGTTAATATAAAACCCGCCATTACTTCTCGACTTTATAGGTGGGTGAATTTTCAATAGATTTTTTTTTACTATTCGTTAATATAAAACCCGCCATTACATTTCGACTTTATAGGTGGGTGAATTTTCAATAGACTTTTTTTTTACCATTCGTTAATATAAAAACCCGCCATTACATTTCGAATTTAGAGGTGGGTGAATTTTCAATAGACTTTTTTTTCCCCCCCTATTCGTTGATATAAAATCCTCCATTACTTTTCGACTTTAATTATGGGTGAATTTTCAATAGACTTTTTTTTTCCCCCCCTATTCGTTGATATAAAATCCTCCATTACTTTTCGACTTTAATTATGGGTGAATTTTCAATAGACTTTTTTTTTACCATTCGTTGATATAAAAACCCGCCATTTTTATTTCGAATTTAGAGGTGGGTGAATTTTCAATAGACCTTTATTTTTACTATTTCTAATAAAAACAAGCGACCTGTTTATATCAGAAGTAAAAAAATCAACATAATAATGAATATAACTAATTTAATATATATACTAGTCTTATGTTATTACTTATAATGATTCAAATGCATTGTATAACAAGATGAGTTTCCTAACTTTTAGTTATATTTTCAGCCGCAATCCCTGTATTTTCAGCCATAATCCCAATATTTTCAGCCACAATCCCAGTATTTTCGGTCGTAAATTCATTATCTTAGAAAAGGGGAAAAAATAGAGTTTAGGTTTCTGTATACGAAACGTTGAAAAATGATATGCAAATTTCATTAAAATTGTAGATTAGTTGTCTATAACCAATAATATAAGGGTGAACGTTTTCTGAGGTTGTTTAGCAAATTACAAACTTAAAAAAACAACCTTTGTCTAACTTTAAGAATTGTGAAAAATACTTAGTGTCAAAATGTACATACGAGATCTTTGTGTCATTAAGTAGTTAAGGTACTAGTAAACAAAAGAAATAACAGCTTTTCAATAACCCAGAAGAAAGAAGCTAGTCAATAACTCTTGTGTGATCGAATAGTATGTCATTAGAATGTCTATCTAGACAAGCGTAACTGTTGACTAGCTGCCTTACTTCTAATTTATCTGAATCAGGATTGGTTAGACACAGTTTTTGAATTTCCCGCAAAGCTACACGATGGCTATCTGCGCTAGCCGTCCCTAATTTAGCAATTTAACATTGTATAGCATACACCATTT